AAAAATCGCTTCAGGACCTGCCCCAGAATGGAAAGGGTATAATCAATATAACAAGACACAAGGGTATGCCGCGCAAGAAACACATCAAAAGGTAAAATCGTTTCCCTAGCCATCGCCAGCGAGACGAGAATCATCCATAAAGAGCCGCCAAGGGGATTTTGCTAAACGCCAAAACCCCAAATCTAGCCACGGTTCTCCATATTGGACAATGGAGAAAATTCCCTCGAGGTTTAAGAAAAACCCCCATCGACAAGCATAAGCGCCGCATGCACAGAAAAGGCCGTAAGACATCAAGAGACAAAGGAGAAACACAATCTCAAACACCCCCGAAAGGCTTCCACTCATGACCCAGTTGGCATACCCTGCGAGTCGATCTCATCCAGGTTAACCATACCGTGGGAGAAATCACCCATTCCAGGAGAAGGATGGGCAGAGAGGCCGTGAATTGGCAGTTCGAAGCTGGGGCTTTCTTGCGAAACGCCATAGTTGACATGATGCTTCGAGTAAATGTCGTTCATCGAAAGACCGTCATCGAAGCCAGCCTGCTGGTCGTTGGAGAACCCATAAATATCAGACGAGCCGTGTGACATGTTTGAAAGTGGCGGCGAGTGGTTTGCTATCAGCGGGTCTGCAGGGCTCATACTGGAGAAAGGAGATGCTGCGTGAGAGCCCATTCCCGAGGGATCGGCTGAACCACCCGAGACAAAGGGCACGTTAAACGGGGGCGCCATGCTGGCGAGTGGCGTGGACTCGCCTTGACCGGTGTTGCTGTACATGGGACTGGCGAAGTCGGAGGGTGATCCGGTGGTCGTCGCGGACATGGGGTTGGTACGGAAATCCATTCCATATCCTTGGGTGTCAATGCGGAGGTCCGTGGGGAGATGGTGCACTGACTGTGGAACGGGTGCGTAGATACCTGCCTCGGTGTGGTTGAATGGAGGTGGAGGGGGCGGCACGTGGAAGGAAGACATGGGACTCTGGAATGATGAGATGTCAACTGCAATTGGTACTGAACGGCTTCGTTGGCGTTTGTGGCCGCGAGCAGCTGGCATGTTGAAGCCCAAATGGTTACTGTCCGGGTACAGGTTCACGTAGGTGGGAGTGACAAATTGATTAGGCTGAGATGCAGGACGCTGTATAAACGGCGGAGACATCGCAGCTGGCACAGAAAAGCTGCTATTGTTATAAGCGAGGCGGTTCTGGAAGGACTCCAATGAGACAAGCTTGGCAAGCTGAACGCTCAAGACTTTGGGATGGCCTCCTAGGTGATGTATCATGATTTGACTAGCTTGCTGCTCCTCGGTGAAATCACCGCATTGATAGAAGCCCCCCGAGTTGGATGAATCCATGTAAAAGTGCGGCGGCCGGTTCAGTTCCACAACGAGACCTCCGGGCCGAGGTGGTTCCCCATTTGGCCCAGGGCTTGGATCACCGGTCTCCAAGGTGATGTTCTTGATATAGGCGAATGGATACTCGATCTTATAGCCGGCAGCATCATTGTTGATATAGTAAGTCATGCATGCCTTATCGGGGGAATAAAAAACAACCAAGTCCATGGCATTTTGTCCAATGCGTCGCCAGCTGCCGACAGTCAAGGAACGACAAGTGAAGTGAGAGATCACTAAAAAGACGAATCAGTCTAATGGACAGTGCACCAGAGAGAGCTATCAACATACCAACTTTGCCAGAAGGGTTAGTCTCGTTTGCGTACATGCTAGGCGGGCCATATGCGCCAGCACGGCCGAAGGGATCTCTTGCGCCAGGTTTGTTCGGGTCAAACTGCATCGCGAGATAGTGTCGCATGGATTCTGGAATAGAATCACATCCCTCGCCAGTCTCGATGCTCTTTTTCGCAAGCATCTTGATTTTAGCGCGACTTTTTTGGGTCAGTAAAGACAAGAAATAGAAACAAAATCCCGAATAGCGCCTACCGATTTTGGAACCAGATCTGAACAGATCGTTCAGTCATGTTAATGTCCGAAGCAATGCGTTCCCTGGTAGCTGCGGTGGGTGTCGGGTTCTTGTTGAATTCGATCTCCAAAAGGACAAGCTGATCCTGAGTCGCGCGCTGACGTTTGTTGTTTTTCTGTTGTTGAGTCAGAGTGCTTTTGCGAGGAGGTCGGCGTGTAGCAGAAGACTGGGCCGTGGTAGCACTCGAGGTCGACGGAGAGGGCGTGGAAGCTGGAGGCGAGCAAGACGATGCCGTGGACGCAATTGCGCCGGTTGGCGGATAATGCATTTCTGTCAACGAAGACATTGTGTAACGTGGTACGGTGGAGAATCGATCGCACGCAGTCGGAATCGTGTTCAATGTGTTCGATATGCTTTCTTTCGGGTTGCGTATGTAATGTTTTTTTTTGGAAGGAAAAGGTACGGGGTGTGACGATCCGGCCGACAAATAATGGTATGGGTGTAAATTGTAGTGCAAAGACGGATTGTTAATTTCAATGGTCTCGAAGCAGCCACGGGCGCGAGAGAGAGTCAATTTGAAGATATAAGTGAACGAAAGTCTAGCGTAGGGATCAAATCGCGTTCGGGGGGTGTCCACGTCAGAGACTGGGGGGTTGGGTTAGAAGGGCGCGTCGCAGAGGCGTCCAAAAAAAAAAGAGGGAATAAATGAAAAGGCTGGCCTAAGCAGCTTGTAACGAGTGGCAGGGAAATAATTCTCCCTATATCGACAAGGATCAATGAAGAATCAATGAAGATGTGTCGGTAAATGCTCAAATACCCAGGTTGAATCGATCAACGGGGCGGGAACGGGGGGGTGGGCAAACCGTTCTCGAGGAAACGAATGAATTGGGCAGAAATGAGTGATAAAATGTCGCCGTGAAAGAATGAAACGGACGCAAAAAAAAACAAAAGGAATGGAGGGAATTCGGGACACAAAAGGCAGAAGCGGATCAGGAGATGGGAGATGCTGACTACACATCGAGTTCACTTGGATGGACAACGCACCGGCGCGATTCTGGACTATTGGCACCTCGTGGGGGGGCCCCATTGTTTTTTTTTTTGGGTCAGGACCTCGATTTGGCCTTTTTGTTTTTAGTTCTTTTGCAGTTTTTTTTTTTATCTTTTAACCTTTTTTATCTTTGTCTATGAATTTGAATCAAAAGTTTCGAAGTGAGAGTTTTTTTTTCCATCTGGGTCGAGTGTATGGAGCATGCGATAAATGGAGGGAAACTGGTTTGGGCCCCTGCGTTGACCTGCATGAGTCCAAGCAGCATCACGGAGCCCTGGTGCAATAAGGGCGCAGACTGAATCTCCATTGATTTGTAGAGGGGTACGCGTGCTACTCCCCTTACTCGGCGTTTATGTCTTGTCCAACTGCTTCGGGGTGAATCTCTCAGGGGCAAGTCTCAGAGAGAATCCTGTGTGGCGTCAAATAAACCACACACATACATCATTAATTGCCGAACGGCATCGTGAAATCGGGGCTAAAACAAAACGCGTCAATGCGTTTGACAATATGTTTGAATTAGCAACGGAGTAGGACATGGACATGGACATGGATGTGATAGAAGACTTTCCCCTGTTTCCCCTGATTAATCACTGACTCTTGGATGGTATTGGGGACCACGGGTCCAGGGGCTAATCCAGTGGACTCGGCCAATAAGCATGCAGTTGCACGTGCAGTTCCGTGGACCAAAGGAGAAACATTCAGGTACCCGCCCCAGCATTGATCATCATTGGCCCTCGAGACATGACAGGTCATTCTAGACCCCCGACCCTGACCGGTCTTGAAGGGTACTACTCTCACTCCTTTGCCTACATCCGTCACATCCGAATTTCTGATGCTCCATTTCAAGGATATTCCGTGCTCCGTATGCATCCATGGATAAAAGGATGCACAACTTCTTTATACTATGTACATTTTCATGCTCTTGAAAAGTCCGAGTACAATGAGTCTCATCTCCCAATTGGGGCACTCAGTCTATTTTCCAAGCTATCTCGGTCTACAGAGTAGCGTTTTCTCCTTTACACTCATTTCCTTCGGCTGCTCCGCACTCCGTACTGCGTGCATTCTTCTACTTGAATGACACGACGTATGTATTCTTCACTGTTAGCATGCCAGATCCCGTAACTCCCATCTAAGCAAATCCCCCTGGGTCCATTCATTGTTTCAAGGTTACCACGAACCGGTTCATCCCTAATCACCCGAGGGGGGAAGAGGGGAAAGCCCCCTCCCACAAAATATAAAAAAGGCTCTAGTAACTTTGGTAGAAGATAAAGAAACAAGCCCCTCTATCAAGCGCTTGCACATAACTACCCACAATAGACAATTCAATCCCCCTCGGCCAACCGGAGCCACTACCCAATTCCCGTAGCTTATCCGTAGTTTCTCAGATCTGCTCAATAAGCACCATAATCGAGTTCCGCTGTTGTTCCTGGCAATAAGCTGTCATGTACTCATGCTTCTGCCGAACCCACAAGCGATCCTCAAAGAATGTAGCCTCCTCCCCCCGCAGCATTGAAGAACGACCGGAGCAGCGAAGAATCGGGCCCACAACCCGTTGGCAGATGATTTATCAGCCTAGAGCACACAAGAACCAAATGCTGTGTGCGCGGCGAGCATGTCTGGTCTCAAAAAGTCTGACGAGCAAGCAATAAATGTGCAATTCAGCAAAGGCTCTTGGTGAGAGTATCCAGAGGCGTGCGTTCATATCGCGCCGGTGGAATTCCATTGAATCTGGATCGCCAATCGCAAAGCGCGGTGTTGACTAAAAGTGCTTTTAGTTATTGAAAATGGACCCTCGATCCGTAGTTGTCCTGAGCCCGTCGCTCACGTCGCAGGCTATATGCGCTACTTGTACTAGGAAGCACATCCGTAGCTGTGGGCATCCTGTCATCTTATAGAATGAGGGCTCGGTGGTGTCTCAGCGATCCTGCTCGGGTTGATGGGGTATGAAGCTTTGCGGTGTGTACGGCATTTGCTGTCATGACACAGCTAGCATCTCGTTGACCATGCCATGCCGCTGTATTACCATGCGTGGGATGGGGATCTACGGTATCATCTTGAAGTAGCCTAGGGCTTGCATTAGCCAAGAAGCGGATTTGACGTGGGGCTCCAGAACGCCATCCAAAGTTTGTGCGACGAAGATCCCCTGAAGAACACCGGCCGTAAGGAGCGCTTCTCGTTCGTACTTGTTGCTGGCTGCCATTGCACCTGCATCGCAGGCCGCCTTGGCGTCGATGCCTAGCAGGTTCTGCCCGAGCGGTCTAAGCATTCCTTGCTGCCGCTTGGCTACGAGATCAATGCTGGCAAATGCGAAGTTGAGCATATGCTCTGTCGATCTGCAGATAATGGTCTCAAGAAAAATCGGTGATGACAAGGCTGGGATGGAGACCTGCCGGCAAGGGTTGTCCGGGCCATTTCCAGCGGGGACATTGAATGAAACGAGACTTATGTCTGTGCAAGAACCCTCGATTCGACATTCTACTTCCAATTACATAGCATAAAGTCACCTAGAACATTTCCAGGCAGATTCAAAACGCGCCCGTGCAAAAAGAGCCGAAGGTTGACCCTAACATATTTCGTTCCATTGCTCGACGGGGTATCTTTGCAGCATCTACAGTTCTCCTGGGGACGAGTCGTCATACCAGTCCGTGATCGTAGAAATTTGTCGCTTGAGACATCTCGACAGTTAAACAAACGATCATTTTCTAGCTTGTGAGAGACCCACAAATCACATAGTAGGGACATGGATTACAAGAGTCCTATTTCCCCGCAGCCTTGTCTATATCAACACTACGGTCACCTGATTACTGATGGCTACTTGATTTGCCAATAGCGAGAAAACGGGAAGCAACTGTGGCTACAAGTTACTCCTTGGTGAAAATGCGCGCCCGCCCGCCTGGAGATATACAACATTGAGTTGCTATATACAAGAGCGAAAAAATTCTCGTCAAACGTGCACAAGGACACGTTCGTTCTAAGATTAAAAAAAAAATCTGGTCATTTAGCTGAATTTGTCAAGAGAAGATAAAAAAATGAACACTAAATCGCAAAGAAACCCCTATCCCAGAAGCTCCTGGATAACCCGAGCAGTTCGGTCGACTATCAAATCAATTTCCTCACGAGTAGTACTATAAGGCGGCGCCAGAATGATATGATCGCCATTAACACCATCGATACCACCATTTCCTGGCATCAACGAAATCGCATGTTCAGGCTTGAGGCCTGTCGCGTGCAGTGTCCGAGAAAGCGCTTTTGAAGGCGGATATGGCTCCTTCGTCTCTTTATCTAGGACAAATTCTATCTATAACCATGTTAGTAAAGACCAAAAAAATGAAAATCAACATCACTAACAGCCCAGAACAATCCCCTGCCTCGAATATCACCAACATGGGGGTGGCTATCCAAACGCTTATGAAGACGCTGACCCAGATGTTCCCCCATTTCCCGCACATTTGTTAGCAGGTTATCCTCTTGAATAATCTGCTGCACTTTGAATGCAGCCGCACAGGCGACCGGGTGGCCCTGGTATGTCTGACTATGGACAAAAGCGCCGGTGCCCTTGTTCAGAGTATCAACGACGTGCTTGTTGATGAGTAGTCCAGCAATCGGGGCATAGCCGGCACCGAGTCCCTTGGCAATTGTTTGAAGATCCGGGACGACGTCTTCTTGCTCCCAGGCATGGAGAGTTCCCGTGCGGCCCATGCCGGACATGACTTCGTCTAGAATGAAGAGCGCCCTGTGTCGCTCGCAGACGGCTTTGAGTGCCTTGAGGTAGCCAGGTAATGGGGGGACACAGCCAAGTGTCTACTAAACCATTAGCATGTGTGGCGTTGTGGGATCTGGTTGAACTCACAGCACCTGGCAGTGTCTCGGCTATAAATGCACAGACAGTGCTGGGGCCAAGCCTTTGGAATTCGTCCTCCAGTTCTTGGGCGAGTCTTGCGACATAGTCCTCGGTGCTTTCACTCGCATTCATCCGGCGGTAGGGATAGCATTGGGGCACGTGGTGAATATTCTTCGAAAGAAGACTTTCATAGATCCTCCGCCGGGAGGCATGGTGTCCAACAGCAAGCGACCCGAGGGTGTTTCCGTGGTAGGATGACTTTCGAGAAATGATGTTCACCCGCTGAGGCTCGGGAATGGGCAACTCTGTAAAATACTGAATAGCCATTTTCACAGCAGCTTCGATAGCTTCGGTACCTATTGAGATTTTAGTGACCCATCCTGGTTCGGCGTGGACAGGTTTCTTACCCGAGCTCACAATGTAGGCCCGAGACATCTTGCCTCCAGTTGAGTCCACCAGAAGTTTTGCCAAACTTTCCGCAGCATTGTTGGTGAAAAACATGGAATAACAGTAGGAAATTTTCTTCAGCTGGTCCAAGATCGCTTCGTGGACACGTTCGTCGCTGTGACCCAGACAGGATACAGCCGCTCCACATGTCGCATCCAGAATCTCCAGACCACCCTCGGTTATCAGGTAGCTTCCTCGACCGCCGACAATGTTCAAGGGCTCATTTTGCAGCTGGTGGTAAAGAACTCCACTGGATGGTTTGATGCTAGTGATGTTGACCTGCTTCTCGGATGGGGTAGGTACTGGATCTGCTGCCACTTCTGGTATATAGTCCCCCATTGTATGGATTGCACTAAAGGGTTCATTTATCAAAGTAACAGATGACTCAAGTGGTGCCGGGGGATGGGGGATTGTATGTCAATTCAGCCCACCACAGCCTAGAATTTAAAAGTAAAAAGGAGGGGACAAATGCTTGAGAAATAGCCCACACATAACGCCGTGATTGGTACGTCTCGCCATGTCGCACAAGTTGAAGTTCCAATTTGGTCGCGATAAGCTCATCCCAAAGAGGAAATAGATAGTTGTTAGACACACGTTTGCTAACGGCACTATGGACCTGATAGGGGTGAATCATCCTGAGATCAAGCTGGTTGATAAGAAAGAAGAGATCCCAGGGATTTCCGTTTTGATTTTTTATTGATCTTGTGCCGGTAACACCGGTGGATTTTCTTCAGATGAGATATTAATCGTGATTGATAAAGCGACAGACAAGGTCGCAGACAGTGTGCTGTTTGGGACGGCATTTGCCCGGGCCCCAAGAAGAGGAGTATGGTTGATTTTGATTCAAGTGACACTGTGGATGTCGTTGGAGAACTCTGGCCTTTGCATAACTCGGGAAATGTGCTGGATCAGGGTCAGCGTTACTAAAGGGTAAGATAGAAAAAGGACTAAATGAGATGGGAAGCGAGAAAGACGATAAACAAGTGTAAAACGCCACGGTACATGGTCAAAACATCAAGTGCAAATAACGAGTTGCCTCAGAAGATAAACAGTCAAGAACGACGCTTGTATATCTCAGCTTGGACGTCTTGGAAGAACTGAGGAAAAAGGCTGCATCAAGTGAGTACACATGTAAACAGGTGTTTCTTAGTGATTGATATGGCTTCAAATGTAGCGCATAAATGTAGATTTTTAGCAGATCAAAAAAAGGGGAGTGTCCTCCAAAGAGATCTTTGCCAAGAAGGTGACTCACTCGCCCCGGAAGACAGAACATTGTCAGAGTAAATGGTTTCTTGGACTTGACCCATCGCGCAGAACTGGAGAGAAAATCAAGCTCACTCATCTATCAAGTCATCAAGCTACCTGGCCTTCTTTCCAAGCACAGCATTTCCGCGCCGAAATGGTTCCAGTCTCCGTCTTCCCGTTCCGCGTGGGAGAGATCTCCAACAAACGTGTCAAGCTTATCCCCTTCAATCCAGACCAACACTGCGAAGCATTCTTCCGCATATCCTCGCTCGATCCCGAGATTTACCAACACTTACCCATACTACCGCCAGCTTCAGCAATCGAACTCAAATCCCGATTCCACAGTAATTCAACAAGTGATATTCTATCCTTCTCTAATCCAGAGTCGTTCGCCTTTGCCATTATAGACAAGACACGGCCGCCATCTGCTGAGGATCCGGAGGGTGAACTAGCTGGCACTGTGAGCTTTATCCGCACATCACCGACGAACCTGTGCACTGAGATTGGATTTATTGTCATTCTGCCTCCGTACCAGCGAACCCATGTGGCGACCAATGCTGTTGGGCTCGCTCTACAGCTTGCCTTTAAGTTTCCGGAGAATGGAGGCCTTGGATTACGCAGAGTACACTGGTCGGCTAGCACGATGAACCTTGCTAGTGCTCGACTTGCGCAGAGGATGGGATTTGAGAAGATCGGGATCATACCGTGGCATATGCGGTTTGTGAAGGGGAAGATTAATGGGAAAGTCGGACATGGTAGGGAGTTGCCGCCTGGAGGTGATCCGGAGGATTTGTGGAGAGACACACTGAGTCTTGGTCTGGCATGGGATCAATGGGAAAATGGCGCGAGAGAAAGGGCGGCGAAGGCGATGGAGAGATGAAGAGATTTGCTGTTGACTGTGCAAAGCACCATCGGTGATAATCATCGAATTAAACAACCTTTTAGAGAAGAACATCTAGGAGGAATGTCCTACCACGCGATAAGTCCGAGTGAGTTCTGTAGTTCAATAAGAATTGGTGTTTTACCCATTCCATCTGAGTACAGGATTATTTCTCGATTTTTGGCGGAGTAAGAATGAATGATTAGAATGTTTTAATAGATGTAGGCGAAATGCTGGCGGCAAGCCTACAACATTCACAAGCCGCAAAATGATATTCTCTGATGTAACACCATCCATTGAGAAAATGCTAAGGCACAAAAGAAGCCGAGAAAAACCATCGGAAATTGACTGTCGTATGTTCCAATCCAAGTCCTTCACTCTTCAGCTGCACCGTCGGCCGTAAGGTTCAAATGGCAAGGCCCTGGCAATAATCGCCATCACAATACGTCAGCAAGCGCTAGTTGAGCTCATGTTTATTTCTTTCTTAGCTTGGATATGACCCTGGTCCGGTTGAACGGCACAATCTTTGATGCCATGAAGCTAAACACGGCAATGACCGTGTGGCGACCTTGATTATCCAAGGCCATATGGAATCCGTACCACCTGAGAAGAGACCTTTGATCTCGATCTTACATTCTAGCCGGCTTAAAGGTCGAATTAAGCAGAATTTTGCAGAGCCGTGAGACGTGGCGCACGAGCCTTGACGCGCAGTTATGACTCGCAGAGAAGGACTAGAGGGGAAATGACGCTATTCCCGATTCGCACTGATTTTTCCCAATGCGCATTCTAGAGCCAATCTGGATGAAGACTTTTTCTGTGGCTGTATAGAAGAACTCGTGGAGGTTCATGGATTTGAGGAATTTAGCTTGGCCGTAGCAAAAAAAAAACACTGGAAGCTGTCTCCAAATACCTGTGTGAGCCAATCCCTAGGGCAGACATTTCAAAAATCGCCTTGGAAGCATGGCAGATCTATAATCAATCCAAAGTGACCATTCTAGATGACACTTCCTATGCAATATGTTCTCCACTCATCACTACAATGCATTCTGTCGACCATGACCTGGAATATTTTTGGATTCAGGAGCACAGCTAATCCTAGGGTTCCACTTGGGGTCCACTTGATATCCATAGGTACTTGGAAGAGTTAAGATCAAGTGGGCCATCTGATCTACTATATCCTATTTAGCAGTCAAATGAGGTTCTGAATAGTAAAATTAAGGTGAGGATGAAATCCCCCGGGTAGATTGAGCGGTTTATCTCCACACGGATGCCCCTGGCCCGAGAGTCCTTAGCCTTTCGAGGTAGTCCATGAGATATGGGTTGACCGAGAGCGAGGATGCTCACGAATTTGCTATTTGGAAGTTGATACAGTTTGACCTTTCGTCATAGGCTGGGATCACTATGCTAAAAGTCAAGCAATCTAGATCAACCCACATAAGGAGGTCAATCTCATATTTTTTTTTTAATCTCGGACACAACGACGACTTCCACTAGTTCGCCTATTTTTGCCAGAATCTTTCATGTTGAGAGTTACCAGAACCGAACTCCCATCTTTCAATGGGTTCTATCATTCGAGTTGAAGTAGCACGCAAGATGCTAAGGGATTGCGCCTTAGCACGTAACCGTCGGGTAACAAAAGATCAAGAACAGCAAATGAATTCCACTCTTTTGACCTTGGAGATATGCTTAACACCAGCTATTCTGGTGCTTCAATCTGTGTGGACGGTTGCCGATTTAAAGCAAATTGCGTGAGCATTGCGCAAGATGACACCGAAGAATCGCCATGCATGTAGGCTAAGGACCCAAGAAACCTATAGGACGGAACAAGCATTCCTGTTGGGCTTAACACTTATCTATCTCCTCAACTACCGTACAACAGAGGGGGATCATGGCTAGATCTCTCACTGACGCGATTACTTGGTCCGCTGAGGACATATCTCGATAGTTGTATAAAATCATTGAAATCTCCGGGTTTTCGTCTGTACAAAACAAGGAGATTATACGTTTATTAACCCACGCACTGTTCATTTCAGGTCAAATTCCCAGAGCACAATGGGAACCGCGGGTGATTCTCAGCGAGTGACGGCTTCGGTGCACTGCATAGATGTGGAGAACCAGAGCAACAACACCCAGGGAAACGATTTTGTCAGTCCTGTCCGATCATGGAAAAGTTATGTGTGGGATACATGGGACCTTCCACCGGATCAACGCTGGTTAATTTTTAAAGTAGATGCGTTCGTTCTCACATTCGCATCGATTGGCTATTTTTTGAAAAATATCGACCAATCGAATGTCAACAACGCATTCCTCAGTGGCATGGAAGAGGATCTCGAGATGTTCGGCAATCAACTAGTGACTAGTATGTGCATTGGATCTCCCCTAACCCGTTTTTTGTCCTATCTCGGTGAAACAAGCCGAGAACCCTTTCCAGCATCTGCTCACGACCGTTACAGGCACATCGATCTGGACTGTGGGATACGTTATTGGCCAGATTCCGTCCAACTTGTTGTTAACCAGAATCTCCCCTCGATGGGTCATCCCCTCACTGGAGTTAGGATGGGGACTCGCAACTATTTGCACATCAAGCGTCAAGTCGTACAAGGCTCTGTATGCTTTGCGCTTCCTTGTCGGATTTTTTGAGTATGCAAAAATCTCAAGTTGCGAAGAACGATTTGTGCCCAACAGCTGACACCGCTATAGATCAGGATTTTACCCCGGGATTCATTACTTACTAGGATCGTGGTACACACCACGAGAAATTGGAAAGCGGGCCATGATCTTTTGGCTCGCTGGTTCAGTCGGCACTTTGTTCAGCGGGTTCCTCCAGGCCGCTGCATATACAAACCTGAATGGGACACATGGGTACGCTGGATGTGAGTGACCGTTATCTCCCCATTCCGGCGGTTGGGTTCGAGCACGCCCATTCGCGGCGTATCAATCGAAAGCGGAGGAAACAACAGCTGACTGATGAAAATAGGGCGCTGGCTTTTCATTATCGATGGCATCATTACGCTACCGCTTGCGCTCGCTGGGTACGTGTTCTTCCCCAACTTACCGCAAAGCGGCAAGAAGACATGGTGGACAAGTGAACAGGAGCATCTTCTGTCTATTAAAAGAATGGAGAACATTGGCCGTGCTGGCAAGAAGCCTTGGACTATGGCAAAGGCGAAAGCGATCCTGCTGAGTTGGCATACCTATCTTCTTCGTGAGTCGTACGGGTGGATCTGTCTCCTCTTGGAACTATATTAATCATGTCTCACAGCATTGCTATACATCATTTGGAACAATGGCTATCCTCAACCCGCTATGGGTTATTGGCTGAAGAGCTTCAATGCCCACCCGCCCCCTCTCCCCGGGACAACTTACACCATCTCACAGATAAATAACTGTGGGTTCAAAGTCTCGTTTTTCATCTGATCGTCAATAACTAACTCAGGGACAAGTGCCTCTTCCTACGACCGGTGTTCTCATTGTGATGGCATTGATTTGGGGCTGGCTTTCCGATGGGCCATGTCGTGGCGCTCGCTGGCCATTTATTTACATCGGTGCCGTTGTAACTGTGAGTCAAAGAAGCTATATAGGTCAAGTGGCGATTATGACATGGTAGCTAATTATGACCCCTTTTGCACAGCTCATTTTTGCCTGCTTAATGATGAAGATGCCATTTTACACAAACATCAAGGGCCGTATGGTGGTTTATTGGCTCAGTAATATCGGCGTAAGTCTGCATTTTCGTGTGCTCAATCGTCAGATTTTAACATGGCTCTTAGGCTGGTGCTGGTCCTTTGATTTTGAGTTGGATCAACGAGATCTGTTCCGATGACACAGAAAAACGGGCGTTGCTTGTTGCCATGGCTAATGACTTTGCCTATGTTGTGCAAGCTATCGTGAGTCTCCTCTTCCCCCCGCCCCGAGGGCGAGACTAACCAGCTTGAACAAAGGCGCCAAATTTCGTGTGGAAAACCACAGCATTCCCTCGAGCTCCCAAGGGATATACTTGGTCAATCGTACTTCAAGCTTTGCTCAGTAAGAAACTATTCCTCTGTCCGAATCTTGTTCCCCGCTGATAAAAATATTTCCAGTCTTGGGCACCGCAATTGTTCAGTTCCTTTTGTGGCGCGATAAGAAAAAGGCAGCAAAGACAGAGGCGGGCCTTTCAGCTCTTGATCCCCTCGAAGCATCGTCCGTAGAGGAAGGTATATCGGTGGGATCTAGTGAGGACGGTGGCAAAGTGGCTAGTACTTCTCGGGTCAAACCGGTTGGCCTGGAGTAATTCAGGTTTATATCTAAGCGCTTGAAATCTTGAGATTGATATTTTAAACCCCTGATATTAGTTTCTAGTCCAAAAACCAAACTGAAGCTTGGCCGTTTCCCTCTTGCCTTTTGGACTGATTGCTTAAGGTCGGGTCGGCAGCTTACTATAAAATCAGTTGCAATCTTCCAATTACTAGCATATATAGTCCGTAACGATCTCTGGCAAATTAGAGGTCTGAAAGTACTTGGATAGATACTGCGGGGTTCTCTCGGCCTGCATATAGACACACCGCTTGATGAGTTCAACCGTCCAGTTAAGTTATTCCCACCGCTGACCAACTCCAATTCCAGACTGCCTTCTTTGAATGAGTCTGTTCAGGTCGACCAGGTCCTCTATAAAGATGACATTCCCATACAAGCACGTTTTGCTCGTTGGAGCTACATCTGGAATCGGTAGAGCGATGGCCGATCGTCTGATCCAGGCTGGCGTTAAAGTGACTGCGGTAGGACGGCGAAAACAGCGTCTTAACGAGTTCATTGCAAAGCACGGCGAGGAAAAAGCCTCCGCGATGAGTTATGACGTCAGCGACATTGACGGGGCTCCCCAATTCGCCGCAGAGTCAGTTGGTGAACACTTTGAGATGCGACATCCGGGGAAAATGTGAGTTTCTAACACAAAGTTGAAAAATAGCGCATCCGCTCAGCATCCGGATATCGACTGTGTCTTTCTCAACCCAGGTATTCAGCGAAAATACAAGTTGACCGATCCCAAAGACGGGGACTTGAGTGATTTCAGAGCAGAGATGGACGTCAATTTCATCAGCTACGTTGCTCTGACTCAGGAATTCCTCTCATTCTTGCTGTCCAAGTCGACCCCAACAAGCTTTATATTGTTAGGTGCACGATCCCTAGAACGACAGATTTTGATAGACATTCTAACATGCTCTGGACAGTACTACATCGCTTCTGGCTTTAGTGCCCGCACCGAGAATCCCGGCCTACTCGGCCGCCAAAGCTGCATTGAACGCTTTTGTGTACTGCCTACGAGACCAGCTGAGGGAGTCAAATGTGAGAGTGATCGACTTGGCCCCACCTCTAGTGTCAAGTAAGTGGATACCTCGATTCAAAGAGATCCCCCGAAAGTGTAAGCGAGAATGCGGAGTATTATGCTCATCATCACCTCGCCTGCAGCCGAACTACACGATTATATGGGCCTTGAGAAAGGTCGAGGTATGGGCATGCCTGTTGAGCAATATGCTGAAGATGCCTATCGAGCACTGGAGATGGGGAGTGATGAAATGCTCGGTGGAAGTGTTGGACCTACGGAGGTCTTTCAGGATTTGGCCGATACGCGTCGCAAAATTTTCGATGAGTTCGCCCCAATGCTTCGTTACGTGGATTGAGATAAAGAGGCATGACCATCGACTCCATTGTATGGCACTCTCCAGGGATTATTACGAGTTCAAGATTGTTATCACCAAATTTCTATCATTGATAATTTAGCCGGTTGGGCCACATTCAATAAGTGAGATATCTACAGTGTGCGTCAGAACTGAGGTCTAATTCGAACCCGATCTGAGCCCACTTGCAAGGCTACAGTACCCAAGAAAATTGTGGTTCTTGCAAATCGATAGTGCAATTTTAGTACGAACTCCCCGGGTAGAGATGCCCGAATCGGAAATCTTCATTCAGATTTAGCCATTTATTCTTGTGTCAAGATCGGATATTAACATTCGAGATTATCAACTCACATCCTGGAGTAGGAGTATCTACTTAGCAACGAAAGTCCTATTGCGTTCACTTTCATCCAGCTCGCTAGAAATTCTGTTTCGGAGAGTTTCTGCAAGACAGCGTACAGCTTTAACTCAGTATTCAGGGCTAGTGTTTGTCAATAATATACAGATTACCTTTTGATTCCCATTAGACATATAATGGGCTTAATTTCTCGTATGCTAGCGGCACAACATGAAGTTGATGTGGGTAGTCAGCGCTGGCAACTAGACGCGCGATTCGATGTGAACACATCACCAGTTTTTTTTTAGCACCGAAAACAAAGGAATCACACAATGTAGTAACAACGTCTCGGTCTTATTTAGCATTGTTAAATCGTCCGACTCCATGGCTTGCCCTTCTAGGTGTGGACGAGGGTAGTCGACGATTGGCGGTGATAATTCACTATCTCGGTCGATATCCAAGGACGGAACATCAGCGTGAGCAAAATCAATGCGTCTGAGTCATCCGTGGGCCCGGTCTATATCGACCCCCCATCACAACGTCACCCACATCGTCATGCGACAACTTGAACTTATTTCCAACGATCTGACTAGTTACTATCGCTCGACCCTTGGTGACGCCTACAATGCTAGCATTAGTGATTACCGCACGTCTGTCGCCGGTGGGAATTTATCCGAGACGCGGATTGTGAAGAAGGGAATGGAGAACGCAGTTACTTCGTTAGTCGACGATATGCTGGTTGCGTATGCCTTGGCTCAGTTGATGGTTAGTGGTTTTGAGAAATCCACACCTGTAGTGGTCCAGGTCTCTGCTCTGCGAGTCAGATCGCGGGCTTACATTATTGCTAGTGCGGCGATCACTGCACTGATTGTACTTCTGGCAATCGGGGAGGGCCTTCGAATGCGGTGGTGGAAGGATCTTCCGTCCGTTGATTATCAGGATAGTCGAGCATTGATTCTAGGTGCATCTAGGGGGTGGCAAGGGCGTTGCGGAGTATGTTGAGCAGGTGACATGTAAAGATCTTGGTAGAGTTCCTGTGATTTGGAGGAAAGGCCAGGGATCATGAGATCATGGGGAAATTGCGTTCCAGCCCATGCTAGATGATCCGGAAGATATTGTTGAGGATGCAGGATCAGAAAGGACTTCAGTTGCTTGGATATGAGGCCACGATGGCGGAGCATGGTAGTTGACAATCATAGTGTGGTGCATATAGCGAGTTGATTAGACAATTTAAACCCAAATTCAGAAAAGGAAGGCATCTGAGAAGAGTTCAAAAAAGTGTTTGAAGAAACTGCAAAAAAAGCAACAGGGGTAGCTGAGTCCAGTGGTAGATGCATATGCGAGATGTAGATTGCTCAAGCTGCCAGATGTGGATTGGACCATGGACCTCACTCAGTGTCTGGGAATGGTGAAGAATTGAGCCAAGCACTAGAGAAAAGATCTTCAATGTGTCTTAAGACACGCCAAGATACAAGACGAAGTTTACCTCCCCCTGGTAATTCAACTCTATACTCTGTGCAGGTATGACCCATATCTACAAAGAACCGTACATTGCCATTAAAGAAACCGCTGTCACATCTCTAAATTATAAATAATTTGACGAGGTAAAAACTATGTACTGCACCTCATCCGCAAGAAAAGGGGGGGGGGGGGGAATCACACGACTGAAACGAGAACCCGATATGTAACGCGAAAAATCAAACAGTCAACGATGAGAGTCAGGGTATCTTGGGAACCGACGGTCGACTGTGCAAGAGACCGAACAGCGAACAAAAAGGAAAGAGACCACGAAGGCGTGGACAGGAACCCAAAATCAAGAATCGAACCAACGCCTTTCGATGCCAGAGGGCATCGTATGATAAGCTAATAGACAGGACTCGCAGATGCAATCGCCATGAGAGAAAGACGGAGGACGAAAAAAAGAGCAGAACGGGAAAAAAAAAAAAAGGAGAGTCCATCCAATCATTTCAGCTGGCCCTTGCGCACAGCACCATATCCCTTGAAAAAGAGATCCTGGATCTCAACGGAGCGTCGGCGCCCAATGGCATCTTCGGGACAGAGGAAGCCAGACCGGCGACCACGGTCCGGTTCAGCATTGTGGCTGTGCGTGCTGCTGTTGTGACTAGCCGTGGCGCTGGCGCTGGCACTGGTGAAGCCATCAACCTCGAGTTCCGTGGGGTCAAGCTTGGAGTCCATCACGCGGGGGCGGGCGAGCAGCTCGCGGACCTGGCGTTCACGGGCATCCATCTCAGCCTTCTCGGCGTTCTCACGGGCGATCTCGAAACTTGATCTCTTGGTCCCATGGTCCCAGCCCTGCTGGAGTTCCGAGGCAGCGGCCTCTTCGAAGCGCTTGCGGATGTCGAGATCTTGTTCGTATTCTTGGAAGATGTCGACGTCTGTTGGGAAGAAGAGGGCGCGGAGGGTTGAGACAGTGAACTCGAAGAGAAGAACGGCTGAGACAGACAGCAGGAGGACAGTCCAGAAGAGGAGGTTATGGCCGGAGTGATGGACGAAGTTGGAGGGGAGGAAGTAGATGCCTTTGCCGGAGGACATGGTGTATTCACGGTCGAGGATGAGATCCCACACGAACCAGCCGCCGACGGAAATGATAATTACAATTAGCGACATGTACGTTTTGTTGTGGACTTCCAGGGCTTGGAGTTTGACGTTGATGACGATAATGCACGCGGAGAAGGTGAGTAGGCCCAGGGAGAAGATGTCGTTGCCGCTGGTGTTGATGTTTGCGAGGCCAAAAAGACTCCGCATCGTGAAGAAAATGATCACTGCTTCGCAAGCCGCCATGAATGACCAGCCCAGATAGAGCCGTGTATTGAAGCCTCCGTGTTGTTGACCCTTGGTGTAGAGCTCCGGCACGGCTAGCAGTGTTGATGCTGAGAGATCTTTGGTGAAGATACCCAGGAAGATGACAGCGAGCGAGGTGAACAGCGTGTTGAACATACTCAGACTCCACGGCTCGTACAAACTGGTGCCAGTATAGCCATTCCAGCGCTGATACAGCGCTTGGGTCAGGTAGAACAGCATCTCCTTCCAGAACGTACCGAGTGTATACTTGCAGGCACGTATGTAGTTCCACCGACCGTGTACCAGAAGCAGCTTAAGAAGGAAGCGGAACTGCGCAATCGAGTAGTCCGAGATACGTGCTGCCTGCAATCCCTCCTTTCCAGTGATTCCGATACCCACATGGGCCTCCTGGATCATGGCGATATCGTTGGCGCCGTCTCCAATGGCAAGTGTGATTGCGTCGGTGAGCTGTTTTCGGATCGATCTCACCAAGAACGCTTTTTGCTTCGGGCTCGCTCGGCAACAGATGACCGAGTCTGCCTTGACAGCCAGTTGGAAGAATTGTTCACGCACCACCTCATTCACTTCGATCAACGAAAGTGTATGGCCATCAACCACAACCACGGAATGCGCCACACGGCCACAGGTAATCTCCTCAATAAGATGCGTGATCGTCTGCTCAACATCGCCATTCTCTTGATCCAGGATAGTCAGTGTCGAGTACTCCTTAACCAGACGACACGAGTGGCCGATGTTGATAGCAGTCTCCCGCTTATCACCAGTCAGCATCCACATCTTGATATTGGCTCGTCGTAGTTTGTCAATAGCCTCCGGCACGCCCTTTTGCAGCTTGTCCTCGATAGCAGTGGCGCCAGTAAGCTCCAGCTGCTGCTCAATCTGCTCGCCAGCGTCCTCGATTTTCTGCTGCCGATCAACAAGGCTAGTGCAAGCTTCATTGTACACAGTCTTCCAGTTGGTGTAGGTCGCTTCGTCCAAAAACCGGTGGCCATACAACAAAGTTCTCAAACCGTCAGTGGCAAAGTCGTTTAAATGCTGGAAGCAGCGCTCGAAAATGGCCGCCTCGTTGACAACCAGTGCCTCCTCCACAAGATCATCATCGTCGTCGCCATTCATAGAGCTTCCAGAGTCTGAGAGGACGGCCGAGGGTCTGCCCATTTGCGCTGAAGGCCGAGGGCTGTAGTACTCGCTATCAGCCTCTCTGTTCCGCATACCACCATCCGTTTCCCTGTCGCGTAGCCAACCATCGATACTGGCGCGAAGATCAGAACCTTGTTGGCCAGTAACCGATGAGCGTCGACGGCTGAAGCTTGGCCGCGTCATGCTGCTTCGAGCGACACTGTTCTTCCGGCTTTGGTGCTCGCTGTTACGTCGGATGACCTGGTTCGCCTCGGCATTTTTGCGCCTGCTTGCTCGGCGCTCGATCTCAGTCGCCTTCTCACGTGCCAGGTCCGCCTGCTTTAAGAGACGCATCAACGTGGTGTCAGCACCCTTGCAGAATAGGCAGATGCGCTGGTCGGGCATGCGAACAACGACGGACATGCGTTTTCGTGCACTCGAGAACTCAATCACGTCCATGATCTCGTAGACTTCGTCGTTGGTAGCTTCGTCCAGTCCGTCCGGTTTTGTGCGAATGATCAGCGTGTTGGATTGGCGATCCACGACGAGATATCCTAGATCCTGCGCTGCAAGAACAAGAGCCAACTCATCTGGGGATGCAGCCTGGAAAGTGGTGTTTCCGTACGCGTCTTCTTCGGGAATGCAAGTATGACACAAGGCCATGGACAGAATGAACAGTTTCGTCTTTCGGGCAAAGATGGTGTAAGGCTTGCGTTGAATGTATTCCAGCATCTCTTCCGTACGATATGTAGTAGCCGAGCGGCCAGACTGACGGAGAGCATCAGCAGGCCCAGAAACATTCGACGGACGGGGCATCTGAGCCTCGGAAACATTGGACTTGCGGCCCATTGCCTTCTTGCCCTTTGCGCTCCGCTTCTTGTGGATCAACTTGGTGTGGTCACCTGCACGAGCAGCCTCCTCTTGGAGGTCGGCATCGTGCAACCAAGCAGTTCCAGCCACACTCATTTTGCGGAAGCGCATGGAGTTATTGGTCAGAGTACCCGTCTTGTCAGAGAAGATGTAGCTGACTTGACCGAGCTCCTCGTTGATGGTCGATGTGCGCGCCTCGAGCGGGGTGTCGGTTTCGGGGTCGTACATGTCGATATCGTTCAGAAGCACCATCTGGGCAACTTTGACGATTTCCATACTCACGTAGAGGGAGATGGGAATCATGGTGTTGAACATGATCAGGAACGATGTGAAAATTGGGCCGTAAGAAACACTGGCATCATCAAGATACCAAGAATGTTGCTCCACGTCGCGAGACCAGAACTTGTAGGCCACGGTGCAGACAACGGCTAGGATAACGACCAAAACTACGATCAACATGACCACACGGTTGACCTTATCCTGGAGAGTGGGCCTCTTGATTCGCGGGTTCTTATTAGCGTTCATGCGGATCTTGCATTCCTCGCCGGTGTAAATGACCATACCCAGAGCGCGGTCAGTGTTGCGAAGGATGCTGCCACGGTAAACAATCTCATTGTTGGTCAAAGGAAGTTTCTCCTGGCCGTTGACGGTGACATGACCGTCAAACTTGTAGAGATCCAAGTTGGGGTCCTCAACTACGAAGTGCAAGGAGTTGCTAAAGATGTCTTCTACAGTCGAACAGACTTTGCTGACAGGCTGGCAAGGCTGCTTATTCTTCAAATTTGTCTCGCCGTCAAGAGCCATGGTCTCAATGTAAGCGACGCCGTTGGGTCCGTTGGCGTGAAGTAGGGCAATATCAGCGGGAATTGGCTGGTCGCGCTCAAGTCTAATAACGTCTCCGACACGAATCTCCTCACATTTGATCCGCTCCCAATCTTGAGCGTTACTGATCACGGAGGCGCCATCGTGAATCGTCCAGTGGCCTGGGCGGAGCACCCAAGCATCCCGGTTGTTCTCTTCCCTGTCCAAGCGATAACGGCGCCAATCATCAAATCCCTCCTTGCCCATCGAGATACCAACGAAGATCAAAAGCGGGACAATGGTGGTGTATGTTCCAGTGGTACTTAGGCCAGGGATCATCTGCAGGATGGCGACGATTAGGAAGTAGAGATTGGCGACTTTGGTGAATTGGGCGAAGAGTTGGCGAGGGAAGAAACTCCAGAGACTGTAACGGCTCGAACGAATGAAGTTTCCGATATAAGGCTTCCCCGTGCGCTCATCAATCATGGAACTTGCCATGGATGGATTCAAATCAATGTGGCGCCCATCTTGAGTAGGTGGAATGTCCTCGATGCGCAGAACGAACTTCTGGATAGACGTCATAACAGCCTGGAAGCGTGCGACAGCCACTGCGGTAGTCGCCTTCTTCTGAAGCCACTTCTCCTGGGCTACAGACACGGAAAACTTCTCCTTAAGGCCCCTCTCCGGGAGCTCAGAGGAGACACAGGGAGAAGCATGCTCCCTATGGGTTGAGTCAATGTTTGCAGTCGGTGCGATGCTCGGAGCGTGCTTCTCATCGGCGGCAGTAAGCGTCTCAGCAGCCGGAGTTATAGCGGTAGTCACATCAGATGAGGGTGCTTTGACCTCACCCAGCTCAACCTGGGCGAGATCATCCTTGCCCGTTGAGTGAATGGTCTTATTGAAAATGCTGCGACGGAGTGAGTATCCACGATTTCGCGAACGAGACCGACCGACGGATTCATGACTCAACGGGGAAATGGGGGAGAGGGTCGCATTTTTGGTGGCATTGGGAGGCGAGAGAGGAGAGGTGGGAGATGAAGCGGGTCGAACCAATGGCGGCGCCAGCGCCGTGTCCACAATTAGTCCTTGGGAATTGGGACGTCGGTCCCAGTTTGTCTGTCGTTGTTCCTCGGTCGACTCGCGATCGAGATCGGTTGAAAAGCGCACATGTTGGGAGGAGATGCGCCGCCCGGAGTCGGAGAGCGTTCGTGGTGGCACGAGTGATGGGCGTCGGAGAACATCGTTCTGCTCGGGTTGAGTGCCCTCTGTAGGTTCTGTTGGTATGTCGTTGGACATGACGGCAGTGGAATTCCTGGCACGAGTGCGCGGGACAAACCCCGACGATCTCGGTACTTCTTTTTTCCCTCCGAGATTGTTGAACCCTTTCCTTGCCGGCTGTCCTCAATAATAAGGTGTAGTATTCGATTCGACGCACTCATCAGACAGGCATTCTTCTGCAGTTCTTTTGGTGGGGGAATCAGTTCCCCTGCAAGACAAAAGTGTGGCGAGGGTTGAGCAAGCGAAAAGACCCCTGATGCAAGGACAGAATGGAAGGGCGCAATGATTGTGTCCTAGAGAAGAGAAAAGAAGAGGCCAAGACTTAAAACCCCAGAGACCAGGAGCAGCCAGGACTAAGTTGGAGGAAAATCGTCAACCCAAAACGGCCTAGTGTTCCAACTGGCAATATCTTAACGTGGAAGATCTACGAAGCACGGAGTACAACGATATCTGATAGGCGAATGTTTAGAGGAAAAAAAACTAGAATCGAGCAGACATTGGAAAAATCCCAAACGGCTCAAACGTCCCAAGACCAAATAGCAAACCCCGTTCTCGGCAGAGTTCTGGGCAACGCGTACAACTTGAGATGCAACCATACACCATACGGACAATTATTCCACACTTACGCCCCCATCCAGGTTTAAATTAAGAGTTGTCCAATCAAAGGGCATGGTTCCTCGCTGCATTCGACATGCGAAGGGCCCGCTGGATCCAGAAGTACCCGCTTTACTATTGGCCAACCTCACATTCCTTAGACCCTGCCCTAACGCAGAAAGGAAAAAATTAGAGGAATGATAAACTGACTTCCCCCTTTTGCTCACACGGATTACTATGTAGATCCTGTACGACCCTTCTGTGTATCCGAGTGTTCTGCAAGTATAGGTCTCACAACTCTTGAACAGCTTTTGTGAATTGGGCTGATTCGTCTTAGCCTTGGCGGGCCCGATCGTAATGGCGGTGCTCCGGACTCCGAACTTCGCACACCTGTCAACCTTGGCAGGCCCCAGCAGTTCCAGTTTTAAAAGAAAAAAAAATTTTGGAATTAAGGACCGTCAAGTAAAAGTTGGATACAAATCCTTTGGAATTCTTGGAAACTACGTGGAACATGCCGTTAAGTGAGACTAACCACCATCATCTCTCCAAGCCCCATGGCCAAAACGAAAACTCAGAACCTGACGACGTCAAATTCCATCAATAACGTGGCTGTCCACCATACTGGTAGCCAGATCCAGGCTGTGAACCATACCCATATGGTTGCTGTTGCTGTTGCTGTTGGCCATATCCACGCGATCCCGGGCAGGGGGGCTGCTGAGGAAGTTGCTGTTGGCATTGACCACCCTGGAGTGGGTAGCCGGACTGGGAACCGTACGAAGTCGGCGGGGCATCAGGGGGCGGACCATAAGGAGGCTGAGCTTGGCCCTGGGATGGCGAAGGTTGACCGTAGCCTCCTCCGTACTGGCTTACCGATGCAGGTGGAGGTCCACCACGACGTTGGTTGTCTCGCTCATCCTTGGTGTCGTAGGAGGAATCGATAGCGCCGAGCATTAGTTTGGCACACTACATAGTCAGTTAGATACTAAGAAATGATCAACCGAACGAGTCACTTACCCAAAGCTCGCGAGTGAGATGCACGGGCGGGTTAGCACGGGACATCTCATCCTGCTCAACCTCGAAGTCTAGAACACCACGTTAGCTAGATCCACCATGAATCTCCCGTAGAACTTACTGGAGGTACAGTCAATCAGGTGGCCAATATGAGGGTCCTGGTCCAGAGAGCCCAAGAAATCGCGAGCCCGCTGATCAGTTCCCACCTGCGAAAATTGGAAGGATACGGAGCTGGGGCCATGACGGGTCCGCGTGGTCTCCTCCACTGCGTAACGAATGACATCACTCACGGCACCGAGAGGCTCACCGGCAGGCTGTCCGTCGGTTATGGTGATCACCAGCACGGGCTTCTCGAGACGGTTGGCCTGGGCGGGTTGAACGACCATCGGGTCGATGACCTTGGTCTTCAGGTTGGTGCCCAGGGGGGTCAGACCCGAGAAACGGACTCGGGAAACTAGACGGTTGACATCATCTGCATTCCGAATGCCATCGCCCACCTCACTAGAGTTCATGAATCGGATAGAAATACCGTCCTGGTCGAAGGTAGATGCAGCAGTAGCGACGATGCCGAGGATCTGTCTGAGTTGATCCTTTCGGAGTCCCTTCTCTTCGAATTCGATGGATCCACTGTCATCCACGTAAAGAATCACGTCGAACAGCGCGAGCTTCATGACATCTGATGCAACCTCCATAGGCACGGCCCATTCCTGAATCAGCTTATTGAGCTTGCACGGTGCTTCGATGGCAAGCGTCTGAACAAGCCGATCCAGTCGCTCCGGGGGGTAGAAGCTTTGGAGATTATTCTCTTGAATCGTGGAAATCAAAAGCGATCGGTAAGCTGCGACCTGCTGCTGGGTAGCCGGGGAGACTGCAGCGTGAGGGGCACCGCCTGGTGCGCCATACTGGCCTAGCGGCGGTCCACTTGGTGGTCCAGGTGAAGGTTCAGGACGGCCCTGGCCACCGGAGTATTGAGCTCCCTGACTAGGGCATTGTGGTGCCTGGTTCTGGTTTCCGTTAGCATTCTTCTCCAGCCAACAAGCATTCAACGAGGATCCGAGGTAAGGTCAGATACAAAATACAGAAACAGGAAGATGTGCAGGGCAAGGGGCATTTTGTACATATGACGGTTGATGTCCGGGGTATTGCTGTTGTCCGGGGTATTGCTGTTGTCCGGGGTATTGCTGTTGTCCAGGGTATTGCTGTTGTCCAGGGTATTGCTGTTGTCCAGGGTATTGCTGTTGTCCTGGATACTGTTGTCCAGGGTAGGGTGACTGCAGAGCTTGCTGCTGACCAGGGTATGGCGACTGTATAGACTGTCGTCCGGGGTATGGCGAGCTAGAAGAAGCATAGGGCTGTCCTTGTGGTGGGGGTGGAGGAGGGCGGCCATAGCTTTGAGATTGCTGAGATTGCTGGGATGCGGGGTAGGGTGTGGATGGTGGCGGCCTGGAATAGGGAGATGATGGATTCTGATGTTGAGATGAGCCGCCGTAAGGATAGCCTTGGTAAGGTCCTGACATGGTTCCAGAAGGATGATGACCGTGGAGGGGTAAATCGTGGAAGTGGGGGAGAACACGAAAAGCAAAAATTGTCAAGGAAAAAGATGGCTTACCGATCCCTGAGGGGCTGGGGATCCTGAAAAAGCCGAGTACTGGGGCTGTTGACTCTGCTGCGCATGTCAGCTTTTCTTTTCCCGTTTTTATTTTTCTATGACGTCGAACTGCGAGTCATCGATAGAACACATGACTTACCAATCCACCAGCCTGTAAGGCTGCAGGAGGACCACCAGGGTACCCTGACGGAGGGGCACCTTCATATGAGCCACCATCAGCCATGTTCTGGCTATTTTGGCTATTCTGCGCTGCGGCGATTTTCTGAGCAAACTAAAAAGGTGGAGGGATCAGACTGAGTGGTTGTCTCGGAGTTGTAGGGAGAGGAATCGGGAAGACATACACCCATTGACGAACTGGATGAGGACAAGAGGACAAGAGGAAAGGAGGAAAAGAGGAAAAGACAGAGAAGTTGAAGTATCACAGGAGGAAAGGTTCAATGATGCTGCCTGATGTGGCCCCTCTTAAGCCAAGTGAGGCTGTATTGTTGTACATTGGGTACCTACGGACACTTCATCCCCCCCACTTGTCTTTATCCAATCAAAGTACCTTGAAGTACCTTAATGGAAGCAAGTCGATGTATTCAGCCCTATACACCTCACACCCAACTTCACACCCAATTTTAACCCGAATTTTAACCCGAATTTGCCATTTTCCCTCATCAGGACGCTTAGGCCCCACTAAATGTTTCACTCCAAGGCTGCCTAGATAGACAGGGTGATTCCTCGGTGAACAGTGCTAGTGGGAAGAAACCGCAACATGTCTTCCGTTTTCTAAAATAGAACATGTAACCAGGTATTCAAAAGCTGTAATCGCACTAATACCGTATGACTCTCTCAGGTATTACGCTGCAATTGCACGAGCATCACGCCAAGTTATCATCCAGCACGGGATGTGATGGCTTCAATTCCGTCCAACTTGGCAGCATCATCCCACAGTCAAAGTGAGACCATCTCGTCTCGAAATGAATGTTCCTCAAATTTTGGGAGTTCCGCATCTCGGATAGGACCGCGTATATACGCCAGTGATTTCTGTGAGGCAGATGATAGAGAGAGTGTCCTCGATTAGGAGTGCCAACAAGGTGAGTCTTGGCTCATTAAAGACAAGGAGAAGATCATATTCCGCTTGGTTGCAATGGCATGCTGCCTTGTTGAGTCCAGGGAATTGAAGAGACGATGCCCCGATGGCTTAATTGCAATCAAAATGGGTTGGATGATTATTGCAGGCGTAGCAAGATTTGGCACTGAAAGAGAAGGTCCTATCTGTGCGTGCCACCAGTGCTACTGAGGTCGCCGATGATGTTGTTCTCGCGTGCTATAGCCAGCAAATCTCGAAAGGGGTTTGGTGTGTTATGTTGGGTCTAGGGCTTTGTGTTAAGTCCGTGCCTTGTAAAGCTAGTGAAGAATCAACAATCCCAACACTGAGATCAGTTGTCACTAGCAATCTGTTTCTTCCGCGCTCGGATTGTCGACTCTACTCGATAACAAAAGCATGCTATTAAGTCGTGTCCCTACAGATTAGTTCTATGTCGCTGCTGGAAGCCCACGCTTAGAATTTGTGAGTTATTCGGCTTGATTGAATTGTAGGGTGGCCCTTGGCTAATATACGATGTGTCTCGCCCTGGCTTGATTCTGCTACGAGTTCGGTCTTTGCTTCTACCCAATGGTTCAATTCTTCACTCGACGTACTTGTGCTGTTGACTGCGACTCACATGTCCACTTTTCTAGCAACTCAGAAGCTAGTGGGGAATTCTCATTCCTATACTTACATCCATGGAAGTTCTTACGGACATCGCTCAAAACGGCCTACAGCTAGACATCGCAGTTTAAGCGCTGGCATTCTAAGCAGATAATTCTACGTCAGGAGTATGACCCTTTGGTGTGATAATACCTTTTATTCCAATGCCTGTGGTACATCAGACCTGAACCATATCTACGTAGGATCGATAGATAATCGATTGTCTACATCAAGGGTATTAGATCTTACTGGCTGGAGGACCAATCTGGGGTAAAAAAATATGAACTGTCCAATGTGCATGGACAATGATGTCACAAGTTTGCTAGGGGGGTGCCCTTGAAAAAAAGGATGACACCCAGCTCACAGGGGCACTACCCTCTTTTCTTTGTATCATTCCAGGTTCGTGTCGAAGCATTGCTCTTGCTCTAGTTTCTGTGATTTGCTCCTTCACACATTCCTAACTCCTTTTAATCTTTGAGCTACCTGAGATATAATTCAGCTTCCCAATCATTGAGCTCAGGCGATCTGCAAAAAGCCCGGTCATCTCCCAGCAATTTTTCCTTCCAGCTTTACTCATCGGATCTGCAGCTTCCTAGTCTGTCAACATGTCCACCCCTGTCCTCCGCCTAGGAATCCTAGGCGCGACTAACGCCGTCCAAGCTACTTATCTCCCGGTCCTCCGTTCCCTTGGAACACACTACACCCTCACAGCCATCTACGACTCCAACCCCGAAATCGCAAACCAGTGTCAAGCCCGCTTCGGCATAACCTACAGCACGGCAGTCGTGGAAGATGTCCTCCTTCATAAAGAAGTAGATGTCATCCTCAACCTCCTCCCAATGGAGTACCACGAACAATACACCGTGATCGCCCTCGAAGCCGGCAAAGACGTGATGGTCGAAGTTCCCCTCACAATGAGCATCTCAAGTCTGCGCCGGATTCGCGAAGCTATCAACCAAGGAAAATCATCTCGATATGTCAACGGCACTAACGAAACAGACGGCCCAAAGGTTTTCGTCGGATGCGCGCGCCGCTACGCGCCCTGCTTTACAGAGGTCTTCAAGAAAGAGCTCGCCACCCTAGGTCGCGTGCACTATGCGCGCTGTCGACACATCGCCGGCCCAATGAACAACATTGTCACGCCGGCGTCGAAAGACATCACACCGCCACTGAAAAGCAGCAATAACCCGGAGCAGTTCCGCGCGCTCCTGGAAGACGTCTTCGGATCCGAAGAGGACCTAACTTCGGACAGAGTCGCTTTTTGTCGTTACCTCGGCATGCTGGGTTGTCATGATCTGTCGGTGATGCGCGAGTCGTTGGGATTCCCAAATGCTGTTTCCAATGTCGCTATCACGGACCCGTTCTACTCTGCCATTTTCCACTATACGAATTCCGTAGAGAATGGCGGGTATCCATTCACGCTTCTCTATGAAGCTGGTGTTGATGCCGTGCCTCGCTGCGATGCTCATCTGACTGTTTACGGTGCGCACAAGACTCTCAGTGTGGAGTATGACTTCCCCCGTCCTGGTGAGAAGATCAGTACCGGAACGTATGTGCGGGTTGTTGTTGAGGAAGCGGATGGGACTGCGGAGACGGATCATGTCAATGGCAATCAAATTAACGAGACGGAGAATGTTGTTCCTCGCCCGCGTGTCAAGCGGACGGAGACCGTTAGTACCTGTGACGAGGCGTATGAGCGTGAATTCATGGCTCTGTACTCTTATCTAGTTGATGGAGGGTCGGCGGCGAAAACGACAGCTGACGACGCTGTCATGGACCTACGGCTGTTACTGATGATCTTTGACCACTACAATCGCCAGTGTGGTACCATTCGAACTCCGTTGGGTTGAGCTTTGAGTTCCTAACGGGCGGTAGAAGAAAGGAGGCTATTTGTCCAGTGATTGCTAGTGCCATTTGGGTTGGTTCCATGGGCGTTTTTAAATCCCGCTCTAGGGATTATCGGAGTCTAAAAAGATCAAAACAGCTGGTGAAGAATTTTTTTTACGGCTCTCTCGGGTCTGAGGCGCCCTTCCATAAAAATTACAAGATAGCTACATACCTGAGTGCGATGTATCGTAGGTAGCATTCAAGCGATGATCTATCTATCTAAAATCACACTATCGCTTGCCCTTCTTCTTATTCTTCTTAGCATTAGAGCCGCCACCGCCACCGCCTGACTTTTGCTGCTGCTGGGCGGGAGACTCTTCCGCCTTCTCATTGACAGGACCACCCTGTGTGAGTGCCGCAGCACGCTGCTTACCCTTCTTGCCCTTGGGCCTGTAAGAAGAGCGGTCACGCACAGGCAGCCAGCGCTCCGGGTCTGGTTTCTTGGCGGGATCGAAGTCCTTGGGCAGACGGGACTTGCGAACACGCTTGTTGGCGCGATCGTCGCTAGCTGCGGTGCGCTTTCGGGCACCAGCAAAGGCAGCAGCGGCCGCGGCAACCGAGGAGGCGGAAGGAGAGATGCCGGCGGATTCTAGAGCTGAGACGTCAATGTCAGCAATCAGGTCGCTGACTGCCGGCAGGCGGTTCAGCTCGGACTCGACCTGCGCATAATCCAGGGTTGCTTGTGAAGCGACATAGCCGGCAATGGCGACGCGGTCATTGGGGTCTTGATGGCGCAGTGCACGGAATATATCACCGGCTGTGGCTAGGTCGGTACGGTCTTCAGAGTGCAGGAGGGAAGCTGCTGCTGCGCGGAGGAGGGACGCAGGGGGCTCGGGCTTCGTGCGCCAATAGGAGGCGGCTTGTGCGAGGGTGGTGCGGATCTGGATCATGCGACCTTCGCGCTGATACAGGGAGACGAGGATGCTAAGAAGGCCTGGGTTGAAGCGGACGGACTCGTTTGACCCCTCGAGGCTGTGAAGGGTTCGCTCCATGGCTGTGATAGCAGAGGTAGTGTTGCCGATACTGACATAGAGCTGTACCACAGTCAGAAGAAGCCCGATGTCTGTGGGCCGTCGCTCCAGCAATGGGACGATATGTCTAAGCGCTTTAGAGCCGATTTCGCCTTCCGCGTGTGCTGCGGCATTGTATACAGAGAGAAGGTTGGTGATGGTGTTGGTAGATGGGCTTGAACGTGTTGACTGTGCCTTGGCTGTGGACCGGATTATGCCATCGTATTTCTGGACATGAAGATCTGCGGCGTGAGAGTTCCCCACCAGATCACGATCTTGGAATTCAAACAACCGATCGTTGTCTGTGGCATCTGGAGTGTCATGGAGAGCCTTGTATAGGACGTAGGGATTGACAGCAGTCGAACGAGCGAGGACAATATTGTTGCGGGCAATTTTTTTGGTTGACAACTCAGTAATGCTAGGAAATTTTGTAAGTAACAAGGTTCGAGTGGGTATGATTCAACGTACTTGTCCACGGAGATATCTTTGAGAACCGCCTCGGCCTCTTCAAACTTTTCAAGTTGAATCAGGACATAAAGTTGCTGCACTGCGATTGGCAGCAGCTCTGCGGCCTTTTCCTCGAGTGTAAGGTCCTCCGATGTCCGGCAGATATCTATGCAAAACGTCAGTATAAATCCTAGTCTAGGGCAACACTACGCCATGCTAACTTTGAGCTCGGTTGAGCAAGACCTCGCTCTGCTTGAATGCTCCCTTTGCAATGTTCAGGCAAGCTGCGTTGTAGGTTGTTTCGAATGATTCCAAGTCCTCCCTCGATAGTCGGTCGTGGCGCACGAATTCCGTCTCCCCTTTCCATTGAAGCTGGGCATCGGTAGCCCACGAATTGATGTTCAGGTCGTTAATCTCGTGGCCGAAAGATGTCGTATCCTTCGAAAGTTGTTCGTAAATCTCGGCTGCCCGTCGGAAGTTCTCGGCACGATAGCGCTGTTGTGACAATACAGTTAATATGGGTCCTGAAGCAGCGACAGGACAGATGGGGCACCATACCACTTGTGCCTCGAGGTGACTAGCACCACGCCCAGACGATGTGCAATTCAAGGCCTTTGTGGCTTCTTCAAGCTTCCCGCACTTGTATGATGCATAGGCGTATTCCAAGCTTGCACTCTGCTTCAGCGCATCGCCTCCGGCCTGGAATGTCTTGAGAGCTTCTTCGTAACGGTCAAGCTTCAATAGGGCAACAACTTTCATGTGCTGCGCTTGCAAATCGGACTTTGATTTTGTGAGGACTGCATTGCACGACTGGAGGACTTCCTCGTGGTCATCAATCGATGCCCGCTGCAATAGCGAGGCCAGCGATTGCGCAACCATGGCGGGGGTTGGTCGAGAACTTCAAGGGGGTATTATGGTAGTGAAGAAGACGTCAACTTCAATGTCAGATAAAGGTAATGCCGTAAGATTTCTTCAAAGAACACTGTTGCCGATTTCCCCAGATCAACTGTATCAATGTGCGGAACTGGTCTTTCCCCGATGGGGAGTTTCTGCACTCAACGCCGTGTGCCCTACCGTAGCTCACGTGCCCAATCTTGATCTTCCGTTCCCTCTTTTACCAGTCTATCCTATTTGCTGCCTGCTGAGTACTTCTGCCAACCATATCAAAAATGGAGTGCTTTCTCAAATGCTGCTTGCATCGTCACCAATCTATATCAATGTTAGTCAATGCCATAAATTTAAAAATCAACAGCTCAGTATAGGGGTCCCAACATATTTTCTAAAGAACAAAACTTACTCCGCCAAATTTGCCATCGTAAAAAAAAATTTGACGATTGAGAAGTTACAAGGCCCACGCGAGGAAACAATTGGGGACTTCAGATAGCTACAGCCGCAATACTCCTACAGAGGCAGTTAATACAGCTACGCGGAACGTAGGGAATAGAGACATCGAAATAGACAGGACAACGCTAGGGTCCATCCCGATTTACATGCATGGCCGATCATAATTCACCGAGCTAACCTGTATTATTTGAAGCCTTGTCAATTATATGTTGTCTAGCAATATCCAATACCGCATGTTATCCATTAGACTGGTGGGACAGAGTGCAGAAAAACAGATCAGCGAGAGAGGACTGCCTTGAACAACCGCGGGTCCTGGCGACGAGCTACCTCTGCTAATCTCAGAGAACTGAATGGAGCTGGAATTTGCCCAGGTCCAAAGTATGGCAACTGCTACTGTTGCCAATTTGCAGGACCAGGCGGTTGCCTTTCTTTGTCTCTTTGGCTACCAACGGACTAAGCCATCGTATAGTTCCGCGGGCTTATGTGAAGATGCGGTCAATTCGCCAAGTTCAAAGCTGCAGTTATTAGCCCCCACGTTTTGGAATGGCTGAAACGACTGAATCGGTTGAACAGCTCAACACATGCCCGTTTTTCTCCTTCTCGTTTCCGAGAAAGCCTCTAAACTAGAGAAAAGGGCAATAGCCGCAAGAGGGACAACAACCGCTACGCCGATTAATGTCTCTTTTGTTTCATTGATATTGTTGATTTTCTTTTTCGTGATAGCAAAGTGTCGGTATCGGTGGCCTCAAGAGAAGACGTAGTGTACGTAGTGTTGGATTCTTCCTTGAATTAGCATGCAATTCCGACATCGGGGATTATGATACCCATTCAACCTGTGAAAATTATTACTCGCACCTTCTTAGCAGCGTTTGGACCTATAAGCATGGAGTTGTAACAGTAGCTGGCGCCCTCGCCGGTGCCATCAAACGACAGCATAGACTAATAGGCGGCATATCGATTTCAAACTAACCACAAATATATGTGCAACGGCTCCACCTCCAGGTACTATCGAAACTGCTCCTGTATGAGAGCTGATACAGCTGCTCCACTGATCAAACAATTTTGTTGCTGACGCAGATGGAAATTTCCGCGCATTATCGCGAGGCACCCCTGCCAGCACAGACATCACAGAAGATCCGTGCCCTGTTCTCCAATGGGAGATAGCGTTCGTCCGAGGCAAAAGCCGTGGTTAAGAGACTTAAAGAGATGATCTCAAGGGCAATACCCTTAAGAAGAAAGCATAATCCCGCTTGGGCTTAAGCCATGGGCCAACATTCCTATGATGGATGGGTGGCCATTAGTTCTACACGAGCACAAGTAGGGATGATGACGAATGATTCTAGGAAGGAGAAATGCTAGTGGAACACATTGAGACCTAGGAAGAGTTTTGTTCTTGTTAGATTACAAGTGACATAGCCATCGACTGACTAGAGCCTACCGCGCAGGGCTTGCAATTAGAATCATGACCACACTCTGCCAATCGTGTGTGAGATTCAAAAGCATTGTCAAAATATTATACCGGAAGAGTCACCCCCATGTGAGACCGAGATCCCAACCTAGGTGCTGGGTTTAATGTCGAACTATAACTTGTACTTCTGCATGTCATATAGAACTCAGTCCATGGTAACAGCAGATGTACATACTCATCTCGTGCAAATAGCCCACATTCGTTGGTTTGAGTCCTAACCAGCCCTTGAATGACACATCTGTAGAAAAGATTGTTATAATTGCATATCATGTTAGTACATATGGACTAGACATGAGTGGAGGACTCGACAAAGTGTACGCCCAAGAGCCGGTAAACAGATGGAGAGTCCTTCCTATTTTGCCTACAAGTGTAATGTGACATCGAGCGAGAACAACTTGATTACACTGCTAACTCACAATATATAGGGGGGTGAAATTCTATCGTGGCAGAACCCAAGATTTGGTGCCCATTTAACTAGGTAACCAAAAAGGTAACTTTCAGCTCAATCGAAGCCCAAAACATCTTTACCAAGTCAATCATTTCAACCTCCCACCTCCCCCCTTATTTAGTCCCAGTCAAACCTCACCCTGCCAATCCACTCTCGTTCTGATGCACGCACCCTCTCATCGCAACAACCATCCTCTTCGCCGCATGACTTGCAGTACAAACCTCGATCAGCCATTATCCTAAGTGCATGGAATGACACGGAACGGACCGAAAATCTCAAATAGAAACTCCAGTCTCTTGTCATGGAGCTGTCATTACACTCCGGTGGCGAGGATGAAGTCTTCTTGGTTAATGCCAAATGCGAGAGCATCCCTATCTTTGCAGATGATTTCGAGGGTTTGAAGCAGATAGAGGCCCAGTTTACTCCATGTAAGTTCCGGGGCATGGCCAAACTTTTCAACGATAAGACATTGGAGTCATGGTATCCCAGGGTCGAGGAACATAGGTGTAGTCCCTTTCGAATTTTACGGATATTGAATTTTGGTAGGTCTCCTGACAATCCTGCAGCACAAGACTTCAGTATTGGCAACCCGCTCAAATGTTTTCTCAAATTTTCCAGGACTTTGAGTACTACTGACTATTCGAAAATAGACGCCAGATTCACCGGTCATTCCTACCATTTTTTTCGAAAAGTCCGCTGATTTTGTAAAACAGAAGCCACAGAGGTTCCTTTAGGAGCGCAATGCCTACTTCTATCTTCCAGGAGCACATAGAAACTTGCTGATACACAGTGGCTACCCAGAAATATGCTATAGGGACTTCCAGAAGATAATCCACGGCGAAAATTCTCTATAGCCATGGGGCGCGTGTCAAGGAAATTATTACACCAGGTACATATCATAGAGATCCAGCGAGAAATGGGTCTGATTTCTGGAATGACGCCCCTTTCAGTTAGCATGGACTCAAAGCTGGCCACGTGCTCCAGTCTCTTTATCTGGACAGTAAATAGACATCGAAGGAGATCGGACGAAGTCTGAACTCAGACGAACCTTTTGAAAATCAATGGGGGACCTGATAGCTTATGGAACTGGGACCGCCTATGGGATCACATGCTCTATCGGTTGACGCACATGTTAACAACACAAACTGCGGAGGATTTCTATTAAGGATAGGCTAGGCTACCCGATCGATGCTGATCAATGTACTTATAGCATCTATGAATGTGAGTCTATAATCCCTAATTGAATTTCGATTCCGCACTGATCTATTGGCCTTAGCACCAAGATGGTTACAAAGAGCATGAATGGTCCAGACCCCGTGGGATCCGCCGTTCGCCCGTCTATGTTGTAGTACCTCTATGCTGGCCACCTACGCATCTTGAGGAAAATTATGCGGGTGGAATCCGGAGAAGAACAAAAAGAATCCACATCAACAATGCGCAAGACAGATAGGCTTTCTGCGAGTAGAACTCCAGTAAGCCCCATTGGCATTGGCAAGGTCGACTCGACCTTATACGATGTACAGTGCGAATAACACATTGGTCATGCTTGAAAAGAAAGATCCACGGGTTCTCGTGAGAGAAGAGTAAGAGGCTTGGGAAATCATCGACGGATCTTCAATCAAGACAGTGGGGCCGAGCGAGGGTGTGGGTCAACCAAGCTCCAGCTGTGCCGGGGAGGCTCCAAAAAATCATACCATATAGCAACTGTCATCCTGCACACCAACGGTTTTCTGGATTTTACTCCGTTGGACTCTACTGCAGTGTTAATGAAGGACAAAGTAGTGTCTTGGCTTGTCAAAGCCAACTGGTCGGAGTTAGACACGGGTAGAGGACGCGCGGATGTGGGGACCGGAGGGATCAGAAGACGAGTAAGAAGACGGAATTTGTGCTGAGTTGGTCTTGGCATTTGCAGGGTTGACTCGGCACTGAGTACTTTGTACATTGCTTTGTGAATTGGAAACCGACAACGGTCGATAGTGTTGAAAGAGGGGAGTTGTTATCAAACTATGCTTCTATCAAGATTTTCCTTTTTTCAACTTGGACAGATCATTTCCAGGTCCCCTGTAAGTAGCACGTGACTTCCGCCAAATGGAGCCCTTCAGACGTCATCGTCTGGCCCCTTGGAGAATTGGCCCTGGCCATTTTCCATGGATCGTCCCTTGGCCTGGAGTTTCAAATTCTTCTATTTTCTCTCCTGATCCTCTTCCGCTCTCCCTCTTCTTCAACCCTCTCCAATTCAATTAGGTATTTTGATACTACACTTTCATCCCCACCGTGGGCCCATTTTTGTGTTCTAGACCAAATTGTTGTCTCCGCAATGCGGTAGACACCGACCAAATCTCACAAAACAATCTCACAACACAAAAGATGCTATTCAGCGCCCAGGATGGCTCCGTTCCAGGGGCATTATTGGCCTGGAAAAAGGTGCTGCGGTATGGAATTGTCTTCGTGTTCGTAATAGGGTTTGCCGCCGTACTATGGCCCTCGGCCGAGCCAGTGAAGCTGCCTCTGCAGACAGCTGCCAACATCACCCTCGCCGCCTCTGTCGCGTGCCTTCTCGATTACGACAGATTAGCATCCATGAACGTTGTTAAAGTTGCCCAATACACCCGTCGAGAGATTGTGCTCGATATAACGGATGAGCCAGTCCCCTACACACAGTGGCTGGAACAGCCATTCCTGGAAGAGCCGAGGGGAACCGAGGGAGCGGCGGACGGGTGCTCAATTCCCACATCAGTATCCCTGCGGGTTCCTCGGCCGCCGAAATTAGCGGATGCAGCACATATCGATTTTGGAGTCGCGACTGATATTGAGAGATTGAATGAGTCTTTGGATGCATTCGCTCACTGGGCCGGGTACTCGCGCACTCGTATTTTCGCACTGATTGAACCGGATCGCTCGGGAAACGGAATCCGGGATGCCAAGGCCAAGGCCGACGCACTGGGGATTAACCTTTACATCATAGAGTCGGACGATCACTACCTCAACCGATACTTCGCACTTATCCCTCTTTTGAAGGAAAATGCTCGGGAAACCACTCAATGGGGCTGTATCATCGACGACGACACATTCTTCTTGTCGATGCCCAGATTAGTGGACGCGCTCGCCAAGTACGATCATACCACCTCCATGTATATCGGCGGATTGTCAGAGTCTATGCCGCAGATTGTGACATTCGGAATAATTGGATTTGGAGGCGCGGGCGTCTTCTTATCAAAACCCCTCTTGGCAGAAATCACCAACGTGTACGACAGGTGCGCTGCAATGGATTTTACAGGCGATCGCCGCATCGCCATGTGCGTCTACCGCTACACCCAGACCCGGCTGACAGTGGACCACCGTCTGCGGCAGTTGGACCTGATGCACGACGCCTCTGGTTTCTTTGAGTCTGGCCGCGAGCCCCCGCTCACAGTGCACCACTGGAAGTCCTGGTTCCACGCCGACATGCCAAAGCTAGCGGTGGTTGCCGAGCTATGCGGCGACAGCTGCCTCCTCCGCAAATGGCACTTTGGCGACGGTTGGATCCTGACGAACGGATTCTCAGTCATCAAATATCACGCCGACCCGGATCAGGACGATCTAGCCATGGAGCAGACCTGGGACCCCCACAATGGCGCTAGCGTGGAATCTTACCTGCACGAATTGGGCCCCCTCCGCCGCAAGGATGAGCACAAACAGACCTTCCAGTTACAGGATGCCGTCCACGAGCAGAATGACCGTGTCACTCAGTGGTATATCATGCGCGATGAGAAGAACGGTGATCAAATTTTGGAGTTGACGTGGCGCAAGAGGTAAGTATAAATCTGTTTTGCCTTGTAATTGTATGGAACATGCACGGGGTCGTTTAAATTTCTCTGTGGGCTCCGGCGGTCTACTGGGACAATGAGCCCACTTTCAGGTGCATAGGGAAAGGAATGCCACTTTGCATGGAGTGGAGTTTTATGGTTTATTGATGATAGGCACACCTGCTGTCCACTCTAATGAGTTTAATAATGTGATATGGATGTTTTGGATTACCTCTCATGCTGCAAAACCATAGCTTGGTTAAGAGATAGTGTTGAACGAAAT